CATTTGAGCCGGAGAGCGCTGTCCCGCGCGTGCGAAGCGTGCCGAGCGTTCTGAATGGCAGTCCCCGCGGCGTGCGGCCGCGTGGCCGTGACCGCCTCCGTGACCGCCGCGACCAAGGCGTGACCGGACGTGACGTGTCGTCGGGGCGTCTCAGTGCGAGCCTCGTCCACGTGCTCAGCCACGCCACGCGCCGCAACGCAGTCTTGCCACCCTCCTTCCCGCGACTCTCTAGCGTGGACTCTCCACGACGGTCTCTCTTCGCGGGGTCTCTGCCGAGTTTCACCCGATAAACTCGATAAACTAATAAACAACAATCCCACAATCCCCGTCAGCCTCTCCGCCTCGCGGCCCATCAGTCCGTCCCGCTCATGAAACTTTCATGCCGCGGCGCGGCTCGGCCTAATCGCGGCTCCTAATTGAGCGACTATTGAAATCAATTTATTGAAATCAATTACTATCAATCAGCCGCGCGGCACGGCCAAGGTGGCAGCGGCAGCACAGCAGCCAGGCCATCGCGGTCGTGTGTCGTGGGAGCAGCCAATCAAAGAGCACGGGTGAATTTCCTGCGGGGCGTGGGCTCCCAAACGCCCCGTCTCTCTCGCCCCAAGGCGTGCCAGTTCGAGAGAGACAGGGCGACGAAAGCCATGTTCGTCACTCTTGTGGTGGTCGGTCAGTCACGGTCAGTCACGGGAGGTGCGAATGTTTTCGAGTGGAGGGTGATTATCAGCGTAGGTTGTCATTTTAGCCCGAGGATACTTTTGAAATAAAAGGTTCCCGAAGAAATTTCTTTTTGCGCGGAGGCGATATGGGACTACTAGAAGGGTAAAAATACGAAGCCTCCGCGAAATCGGCCCACGGGTTTAGAAATGACAGCCCAAAAAAGAAATTTATAGTTCATGATCAAATTTCCAATGGCTGTTTTTTCAAGTTCTAAGGCTAGGTAACGGTCCTAGATTATGCCAAAGAGTGGTCAAAACAGAAGTGGAAGAAAGTAAAATGATCCCCAGCTAAGTGCACAGCACAGCGCTGAACAGAACAGAGAGAAGCGCCGGGCAAACAGGCAACCACAGGCGTATGGGTGCCTATGCGCCTTACGGCAATTTGAGGTTATGTTCGCCGTTTCCCCCTTCAAAATAAACGATTTAAATGCAGGTCTGACGAACTGTGGTGCCTATTAAGTGCATATAAGTGACGACACAATTCATTCTGATCAATCTTGTTACGGGACAACCTGATTTTTAAGCTAAAATATGCAGTTTGAAAAGGGGTGGACGGAGTTCATTTCTTGTACCGTTTACAACCACTGTATCTCGCCACGCACTGGTCGCTAGGCTGAGATACGATTCTTCCGACCAAGCGCTTATCAAAGGGGCCACTAAAACCTAACTTTTGAAGAAATCGGGGCACTTTTGGAACATTGGTTTTCGAGAAAAGGGGGTGGACGGAGTTCGTTTTAAAAAACATACGCAGCGGAATCGAAGACTAAATTCCACTTGGTTTCCCCTTTCCCCGCAACACCAGCCAGCTGATTTTGATGGTGGTGGATGCAGAACAGAAAGATGCACAATTCCTGACTCGGGTCGCATTACTAAAGCTTTTTTTGCGATTTTCGCCCCAAATTAAGCACTGTGGACGGAGTTCACATGAAAACTGGGGGAACAATTTTGATGACGTGCTGTTTCACACCTGTTGCTTTCAGAAAGTCACCGTGGCCGATGATGTGACCCCACATACTTTTTTTAAAATGTTGGTCACAAGAAAGTCTGCTTTCATCTCGCAGAAGGTTTTTTAAAAACCTCTTTTCGAAATCGACTTGGTGCGGGGGAAGTGGACGGAGTTCACTTTTGACCACTTCTCGATATTATTACGGCCGATTCAGAAGTGGCAGCTCAAAACTCAAGATTGGGGTGGTAAAGGACCCCAAGGGGCGAGCTCAAAACAAATTTCAACATCCTATGTGGTCTAGTTTAGAAGCACTACCCTGGGGAACGCGAGTGACAACCTACGGTGATAATCACCCTGGAGTCTCCCCTCGCCACTTCGGCCTGCTCCGCCGCTCCGCGCTCCGCCGCTCCGCCTCCGTCGCGCTATCTTGGCGGGGTCGCTAAAAGGCAGCTCGGCGGGAAGCCCTGGCAGTGTGCGTCCACACAGTGTGGCACAGTGTGGCACAGTGTGGCACCCACCCCTTCGACCCCTTCGCAAGCAGGCGGGGATGACAGCCAGCCAGAGCTCTCTCTCTCTCTTGCACCCCTTCGGAAGGCGCGCGCTGTCAGAGTGAGAGAGAAAAGTACTGTCCGGAACGCGCGCCTGCAGCAGCACAGAGCAACACGCATGGGGCAGGGCGGCGGGGCGGGGGCGGGGCGGGGGCGGGGCGGGGGCAGGGCGGGGGCAGGGCGCTGGAAGGGGTAAGAAGGGGCTCGCGCCGGGTGGTCCTCGAGGCGGCCGACGACGCCAGCGTGGCGGCCGCACCGCCCAGTGCACCGCCCAGTGCACCGCCCCAAGCCAAGACTGCCAAGACGCCATGGTGCTCGACCACAACGCCCTGTCCCGGCCGCCCCGCCCCCGCCGCCACGGGCAACGCCACGCTGCGCTACGCTGCGCCACGCCCAGCCCGCGGCGGGGACCGCTCTGCGCTTTCCCCCATTCCGTCGAGTTTTGCAAGTAAAACAACAACAACCGCCACCACCAGCAACAACAACAACAACAGCCACCCCAGCACTGCACGCTGCACGCGAACACGAGCTCCACTATCAATCCGCTGCCGAGCCCCTCGACGACGGCGCACCATTTCGCCACCCCACTGCAAAGCCGCGAGCTGTCTCCCTCGCACTGACGGGGCGCTCACAGAGACAGAGCGCGAAGGAAGCGCTGTCTGGAATCAGCCTCCAGGGGAGCTGAACCGGATGCTGCTGTGGTGGCCGCCCCCGCTAACGACGCGCCGCGAAGTGCCTCCCCTTCCCCCTCTCATGCGGATTATATTCGAGCCTGGACGATTTTATACGCACTTAAAGCCCGGTGTAAACGTAAAACGCGAGCGTAAAAGCAACAAGCGTCGCCACGACGACGACACCGGTCACGACCGCGTCCTGCCATTTCGTCCCAACGTCTCCCTGATCGCGCCACAATGCGCCGACTGATTCCGAGAGTCGTTTTCGTCGCTCTGTCTCTCTCGCACCCACGAGCGACGCCGCACCAGTGCGAGAGAGACAGAGCGACGATAACGACTCGGTGCCGGCGAAGCCGCAGACGGGGCGTGGCCGGCGCGGCGTTCGGCGAGAGCCAGCAGAGAGAGAGAGAAGAGAGAGAGAGAGAGAGAGAGAGAGAGAGAGAGAGAGAGAGAGAGAGAGAGAGAGAGAGAGAGACGTCGCGCTCGCTTTTGCACGTGCCAGTACCGACACCCTGATGACGCGACCAGCGGCGGCGGGATCAAGAGCTAAGGACGCCTCGGTGTGTCTCGGTCCGTAGCGCAGGCCAAACAAGTTTACGGACGTTTTACGCCCAGACAGGCCGGGCTGCGCGCGAAGGGGCGCGACGCGGCGGCGAGGAGGGAGGGGAGGGACGGAGAGAGAGAGCGCGCACTTCGAGGCGCACGCCGCGACCGCGAGACAGAGATGGATCAACGCATTCGCATTGCTCGCTGTCTCGGCCGGCCCGGCCCCGGCCCGGCCAGGAATGTAGGATGCGCCCGCGCGCCCGCGGTGTCGCGACAGACATAGTGCCGTGCCGCGCATTGCACGCCGGCGGGGCGGGGCGGGGCGGGGCGCGGCGCACCTCGCGTGAACAAAGGGGTGGCGCGGGCTTGCCGACGGGGCCACCGCGCCACCTCGGCGCCAGCGCGCCGGCAGCCCCGGGACAAAGACGACAAGCCGACAAACAGGGAGACCGGGAAACGCTGGGGCCGGCAGCACGCCGTCGCATCGCGGTCTCGGGGAATCCCCGGCACGTCCCCGTCGACATCGCTCCATTGATTCGGACAGATTCCGCCGCGGATTCCGCGCGGCTCGCCGGTCGCAGGGGAGCGAGGAAGAAGCACCGAAAGCCCCCAGGCAGGCGCGCGCTTTGGCGGCGTGCAGTCCGACACTTGACACCTGCGCGTCGTCCGTCGGCGCCGCCACCACGTTTCCGCGGCTTCCGCGGCCGCCATGCACGCGCTGACGGGGCGTGCAGTGTGGTCACCACGGCGGCACGTGCCGGGCCTCTGCAGAGGAAGCGCAGCGAACAGCAATCGCGTGCCGGTCAGCCAGCAGCCAGTACCCCGTGGTCGGCGCGGTCACGCCCGTGGAGCCCCCAAGCAGCTGCACCGTGACAGCTCGACGACGCCCGGCCCGCCAGAAAAGGGTCCCGTCGTGGCCTCGTTGGGGTGCGAGAGGCAGAGCACTGTTGAGAATGGCTCTACGTGAGAGCTACGTGCGCCCCGGTGCGGCCTCATTATCTCCCTCACACACCGACACACACCTCGATGAGGCGCGGCTCCTCGGCCACGTCGGCCACTACACGTGAAGGCCGCGGATCGCGCACACGCCTCGAAAACACGCAAAGCAGGTCTCCGAGATGCAAAAGCCAAAGCCGCCAATTTGAATTTCTATCCGCATCAAGCGGCGGCGCCGTTGTGACAGACAGCAGACACCGTCAGCCTCGCCGTCAGGCCGTGAGGCCGTCACAGCAGTCGGCCGGCCAGCGGAGGAAGGCAGAGGCGAGACTCATTTCGAATCCTGGAGCTTTCTGAAGACAAGTGACAGGTCGACAGGTCGCGCGCGGTGGCGGCCCCGGATGCGCTGCAGCAGTGACGCCAGTGCGCCAGCAACAGGCCCACTCCGAACGGTGCTCTGTCTCTCTCGCACCCGCTCGGCGGCGCGCCCCTCGCGTTGCGTGCGAGAGAGACAGAGCGCTAAACGCGAGTGACACGGCCCGCACCCTTCCATTACCTTCATTACGGCACACTGGCCACTCGGCCGGGCCGTGTTATTACCTCGACAGCTCTCGCTGTCTCTCTCGCTCACCTGGAGACTCGAAACGCGGCGGGGCTGGCGGGGTGCGCGGGGAAGCACCAGCGGCTGGGCGGAAAGCGCGGGAAACAGCGGCTAATCCAGTTCGCCCGGACAGCGCCTCTACTCCACTCCACTCCACTCCACTCCACTCCACTCCACTCCACTTCACTTCACTTTTCTTCGCCCTCGACACTACACTAGTGGCACGCGGTGGCACGCAGTGCACGCACTGCACGCAGCACTGGCGGCCGGTTTAAATGTATTCGTGTATCTTAATGCCGGCGGCCTTAACCCACCGGATGTTTTGACGGGGCTTGGCAATGCAGCCGACGCACGCACACGTTGATCACAGCACACACACACACACTTGCACTGGGGTGTCACTCGGACAGCAGAGCACTGGGGTCACTGTAGGAAACAGCACAGGACAGAGTCCTTCGCCGATGGCGGTGTATAATCCAGGGGGTCGCGGAGCGTTCCCGCCGCTGACGTACGGCAACTCGCGACGACAATGGAAAGACCGACCGCGCGAGGCGCGGCGCGAAGGAGATCCTCTCCTCGTGGCTGCTCGACCACAACTAACTAAGGCTTGGCTGGCTGCTCTGGCGGGGCGGCGCGGCGCGCGACGGCGGGGGCTCCCCTCCCCAAAGCGCGCCCCCTCCTTCCTCGCGCGGCCGGCCGGTCCGAGTCCACAACAACACCGGTGTACTACTACGGGCGCCCTGGCTGCGCCCTGGCGCCGCCGTCGTCCTGGATCCTGCGTCCATCGTCCTCCATCTCGCGGAAGCAGGACATCGGCAGTGGATTTGATAAACGTGGTCGGGGAGGGGAGGCGACGGCGGCACCGCTGATGCTGAACAAGTGCTTTCGTCGCTCTGTCTCTCTCGCACCCGAACTGGGCGCTTCCGACGAGCCTAAGGCAGCCTGAGGTGCGAGGGAGACAGAGCGACGGACGGAGCACTGTTCGGAATCAGCCCGGACGCCGGCGCCAGCAAGGGCGCCAGCCCGCAAGCAGACTGATTCCGAGAGTCGTTTTCGTCGCTGTCCCTCTCGCACTCGTGAGGCGTCCAGTAGAGGTGCGAGAGAGACAGAGCGACGAAGAGAGGCAGCCCGCAGGTTCACGAACCGATTGCGGGTGCGGCATCGCGGCGGCAATCGGCGCCGCCGGGCGCCGCGGAAGAATCAGGGAGATTAGCTCGAGATAAGTCCGAGTCCACATCGCACCGGCCGCACCGGCCGCCCGAGTGGAAGTGGAGTGGATCGAAAGCGCAGAGCGCGCCGTCATTAGAATCGTTTGTTCTTCGCGGCTTGGCTTCGTTTTGATCTGCATGCCTTTCGAGTTTCGCGGTTGGTGGCGGAGCGGCGCCTTCATTCGGGATGAGTGGGCATTCCCTCGTCACCTTTTTCAAGTTTGGTCACTTAACTTTCAAAAGTGACTTTTTGTTCTTAGCTGTTTCTTTTTTTTTTTCTTTTTTTTTTTTTGTAAACTGAATTATATTGCTTGTCTGAACGTACTTCTGTAGGACTTTCCAGCGATGTCAACCTCAGTTCCACCGCCGTGTGTTTGGATGGAGGGTCATTGAAGGAGAAGAAATATTATTCAAATGTTTAATTTGTGGGAATAGTACAAAGAATCAAAATAATTGAGCACTAAGATGTATAAAATACCCAATAAACTTACTCATAGAATTTCAAGGGTTGCACATACCAAAATGTTGAGATCAACTCAAAAACAAACAAAATGGGGAGAAAAAAAGGCAGTAATTAATAAATTAATGAGCTATCACATATCACATTTTCATTCATGTACAGGCCTCAGGGTTCATATGCTACAATGTCTCACTATGCAAAATGTTTGAAACTGGTTGGGTTCTGAAGATATTTTTAATATAGTTTGTACAAAAGTGTCATAAAAAAATGTAAGCGTAAAAAGGTGTAGATTTGCAATGCCCACAACATAATTACAAAATTTTAAACACAATTCAAATATAGCTCTTCAACAAAGAGTTCAATTTAATCTATAACCCAATCATTTACAAACCTCTTACTGGGTGTGGCACTATATCCACATGTACACAAGTTTCAACAATTAACATGATCAGGCTTATAAGATTTCAGACAGACAACTTTGGTTTCAAGGCCAGACCACAATACAGTCTCTCTCTTACATGCAAACAGATGATGTAAGTTTGAATACAATAGTTTGACACAATGTACAACAGAAAAATTTACATTTACAGATAAAAACTTAAAATAATATACAAGTAATAAAATGCTCAAAAAGGCACAAACAAACACGCAAAGCTATCACATTTCTCAGAGAGTAGGAAACTGACTTAACTTAACTCACTTCATAGGATATTATATTCCTGAAGTAAAGTGGAAGTCTTATAGGTTTTTCAGACAAGGCATGTTACTTTTTAAAACATGCCACATTATTACATTAGTTATTGATTATTACAAAATATTACCGCACTATTGTAAGGTAATTTATTTCATCTCTGCAATTCTTCAAGTGACTTCAATTGATCCGTGTATTCTGTCCATAAGCGTTGCCACCGTAAATTTGTTGAAACAACATCCAAAATATCCTTGAGCATCTTGTGTTTGGATATACCCTATTAAAAAAGGCAGTAAAGAATGAAAACTTAATAGTAGAACACAGGCAGAGAAGGAAGATTAAAGATCTTAGTAGGACTTACCATTACAGAGCTTTCCCATGAGTTAGATTTACCCACTCCTTTGTGAATTGGTCCCAAAAGATCATCACAAATTAATCGTAATCTCTCCTCTAAACCTGAGAAATGAAATAGAAATTAGTCAACAACCTTCTAAAGTGCACATCAGAGAAATTAGGGTTGTTCATCTTACCAGTGTGGACTAGATAGCGGACTGTTGTGAGCAGCCAATACTGATATTCCCGCGGGGATGAAGTTGCTATGCAGGACACTAGCTGCTCATCCAAAAAGGCCAATGAGCATGGCTGGCTGACCAAAGCGGCGTTGCTGCTGCTGGCGACCCCGAGGGTACTGCTTTTACCACAACTGCCAAATACATAAGAGAAATTAGTGTTGTACAGATGAAAGACAGAAACATCCTCAATCAATCAAAACTAATACCTTCGAATGTCAGCTTGTAAGCATGCCAGTGGCAAGGCTGTGCCATTAGATACAGGGTTGCCCAAGAATGATTGGTGTACTGAATTCTTACTGACAGGATTACGACTGTTGCCAACTTGCAGCCTGTAGAAAAATGAAACTGTGAGAGAAAAACACTGGAGCTCTAAAGGTTTCTAACTCTGGAAGAAAAAATAAAAAAAAAACTCCAAAAACATTTTAAAAAAATCAATGACAAAGAACTCACCAGCAGCCCATATCATCTGAATAAGTAAATGCTTTCCCAGTAGACAAAGACACTAATGGAATATTACTTTCTGATAAGGAGCAGCTGAGCAATGTTACTTGTGAGCCTGAAATAAAAGTCATTACATTGTAGAAAACTGTGAAGAATGGTCAGGAATACAGCAGGAGGTGGAATAAGGAACAATTCAAACCTGATAACCCATTCATGATGGGTAAAAGACTTTCATTTAAAATAACTTTGCGGCACTTGATGAGATCCCAAATACTCATGTGTCCGCATGCTGTTACAACCATAAAGAAAGAGTTCACATTTAAGGATAATCTGCTAGCGGGAGCAGAGAGGACCAAAGGTGGGGTGCGGCGTGACCCAGTTTTAAAATCCAGAATCTGAATAGTGGCATCCTCCAACGCCACACAGACTATGTTCATATTTGCCACAACACCAATAACCGGAGAACCTACATAAAAAATATGACAATGAGCAACAAGAAACTTATAAAGGTTCCAAACCAAGTTTTGGCAAAGAATAAAATGCAGCGTAAACACATACCGAAAACTGTTTCCCACATGGTAACCTCCTTTGAGTTAGCCAGTGAATTAACAATATCTGATGGCATAATAGGACTACGAACAATTTTTAATCTAGATAATGGACCACTTGATGTAAGAGAAAAACCATTTTCCACCTGGACCCAGTGGGCATCTCTCCGAATTTTAGTGTTCTCCACCTGAAACAGATAAATGATATTCATGTATAACAGCAAAAATTGAGAACATTCATGAGAAAGACAGCTGGACTGTTGATAATTACTTGGACAGCTAAATTTGATGCACTCTTGAGAGCAGGGAGAACAATGCCAGGCCCATCAGCTCGGCCCGTGAGGGGCCCTGAATCCTGGGCGTTGTGAGGAGGTGGGAGGGAGAGGACAGGAGGCCTGTCCAGACAGAATCTAGCTCTCTTGGGCTGAGGTGGTTGAGATGGTTGAGCTTGTGAAGTTGTTTGTGAAGTAGCTTGCTTTTCCTTATCTTTTTCTTTCTCTGCACGGCGTTTGCCACCAAACGAGACAGGAGCAAAAGGTGTGGATGATGGTTTCCTACAAGGAATTTAGACAAGATTTTCTCAGATGTTACAATGGCAGGCCAACAAATTCACAAAATAAGAAGTAGTACAGAATATTTGACTCACTCAGACGTGTTTTCAACTGGAGGGCTAGCATGACCATTAACAATTGGGGTAGCAGAAGTAGATCCTAGAAAAAATGTTGGGGATATGATTAAAAATGCAAAACAGATGGACAACAAGATTTTACAGTGGTTAAATCACTATACACACCCTCTTTAGGTGGAGATTTTACAGCTACATTTGGCTTCACAACATCTTCTCGCTTTTCCACAACAATCTGACTTTTACTTTCTGCTGAACTAAAAGTCGGTTGTGAGGAAGAATTGGCACTAAATGGTTGTGGCATATCTCTGCAATTATTGATAAGACCAAATTACAAACAAAATACTTCCATCAAACTAGTACAACAACAAATAAATGCACTTACCCTCGGTCAGGTGCAGAGGGTATGAACATAGGTGTTATTCTTCTTCGTCCGTCTGATGTGCGAGTCTCGATCTGTTTGTTGATGGGACCCTTGACAGGTGTAGAGGAAGTCTTCCTGTCTTCAAAATTTGTGACTGAACCGCTATTTACAATACCATCCAGTTTTAAAGCAGATTGGTCTTGCTTTTGTAACAGAGCGGGAGTTTCAACAACTCTTGAAACATATGTGTCTTTTTGTGACAGCAATGATTTTCCATACTTTTTTTCTTGGATAGATATCTGTAGGTCATGAGTAATAGAAAAATTGTCAAGTTGTCAAGTCAAATAGGATATTTGTAGTAAAATCAAATGAGTCATTACCTTCTCTTCTTTAGTTAAAGCTTTCCCTAATTCATCTTCAGTAAATTCTATGTATGCTACAGTGCCATCCCATGAGCACGCCATCAACTGATGGCCTGTACTACTCCAAGATGAATCAAGAACAGAATTTAAAAATAGTTCTCGGATTACAACAAGTGGCCTCTGCTTTGTTGTCATCCAAATTGAGATAGATTGATCACGGGAACCAATTGCACAGCAGCAAGAATACGAAGAAGCCTTTTTGGAAGCTCTCCTGAACAACACACTGTTGAACCGTACACAAGTCACTGGTTTTCTGTGACCAACAAAATCCATTTCATAAGACCAGCCATCCCTTTGAATTATTTGTGCAGCTGGACCTGGTCCATTCATGGCATGCGCCGAGACAAGAAACTCCCCATCAGGAGACCAATTTAATCTTAAAACATGAGTGCTACCTGCACACTTCTCAAATGGATCTTTAATGACTTGTTCTTCTTTCCAGTCAACAGTTCTCCACACTCTTAATGTGCGATCATCAGACTGTGAAGCTAGGTATTTACCCACTGGGTCCCAAGTAACTCCTTTCACAAGTCCTGTATGACCTTTCAGAACTGCTATAGTTTCTGCAAGGCAAAAAAACACATGGTTTGTACAAAATTATCATAATTTTTTAACAAAACAGAAAATAACAGTGTGTTCTCCTTTCATGATTGTTAGACAAATTCTATATTTTAAAAATTTCAATTATTACCTGGTAATTTAAGAGCATTCCATACAATTACAGTGTTATCTACAGAACAAGAAGCTAACCAAGCATCATGAGTCGACCATGCTAAATCAAGGACATCACCATCATGACCTCTTAAAGTTGCAGAACAGCGCCAAGACTCAACATTCACAGTGCCCCCACCAGTCCCAAATACTGTGTTAACACCTAAAATAACAAAAATTGATATAATAATTAATGAGAGCTTTGGAGAGGATAAATTTGACAAATCTGTGCATATCTGTGCACTTACCAGAATACTGATTAATTTTCCAAACCATAATTAATTTATCGTCACCCCCAGAGGCCAGAAAACGGCCAGAATGGCTCCAACGAACACAGTTGACACAGGCTAGGACAGGATTAAAAGCATTAAACACCAAAAGTTTTCTCATGACATTAGAAGTAAATTAATTACAGGAATATATTAAGATTACCTTCATGGTTGTCCATTTGACACAACATTTTAGGAATATTTTCATCAGACTCTGCTTTTTTATCAACAATTGGTGCCATGTTCCATATGACAACCTTTCCAGAATCCGCACCTGAAAAGCATTTCAGTTTAAAGTTATTGAGACTTTTTCCTCAATATACACAAGTATTCAAAGGAATAAGAAATCATTCAAATTTACCTTGACCACCGGTTGCAAATCTTGAGCCATCAGGGTGGATGTCGATTGAAAATATAGGTGAATCTGGAACAAACCAAACAGCATCAGAACACAGTATCCAAGAAACATTGAAAAGACTTGTCGAAACTGTTGAAGGAAGTGACCAAGAATTCTATGGTTGTGGGGGAATATTATTAGCATATTAATTAAGGTCTTGAACACAAATTACAGACACTAACTTTACATGACAGTCAGTGACCTCCTCCTGAAAGACCTGAGTAGGTGTACTTCCCTAATAAGTGCACCAGGACTAGGTTTAGCAAGGCCAATGAAAAGAACGAATGAGAAAAATTAAACGACAGGGTATGAACAACCTGCCGTACTTGTCTATAACTTGTAACCAGTAAAGGTAGTTCACACGAGGGAAAAGGGTAAAGTGTAAAGATTACAATTGGATAACTGAAACTGTCACACCTCTCTCGGAAGCAAGTGTACAAGGACAGAGTCATCAAAAACTCTTAACAGATTAACAGAGGACCACAGAGACGTTAAAAACGAAACATATTAAACGTCGAACGGAAATTTAACGCTGTAAATTGTGTGAATGGATTGATGTTTACAACCCTTTTAACCTAGCAAGACAAACGCCGACAATGGGATCGAGTGAGTAACAACATGATTAAAATGCAGGCCGACTCACCATTTTCATGAGTGACCCACTTGGGTTTTAATAGCTTCATAACGGGGCGGAAATAATAAGGCGGCTTTCATGAAAACAAATTAATGTGGACAAAAATGTACAAATACTGAAAGTAGTTAACCAGACTACGCGCCCCGCGCCCCGCCACAAATAACCACCGCCGCCTCAAGCCACTAAAATCAACTCCCTGTTTGACAAATCCTGGACAAGAAGGACTCGTAGGTCCTTTGGCCGCGTATCCAAGAAGAACATAAAAAAAACAAACGCCAAAGCACAACAAACAACAACATCAAACGAATTGTGATCGTTCAGAGTTTGCAGGAAGAGCCTGTATTTGTTCCCGATTTTATCCGCCGTAATCCTCGCACTTGCAGAACAGCGAGGCAACATTTTTAAGTGAAGTTTGTGAAAACAGCCTCAAGATGTCTATTGGAGTACCCATCAAGGTCTTACACGAAGCAGAAGGCCATATTATTACATGTGAAGCCAACACCGGCGAAGTCTACCGGGGCAAGCTCATAGAAGCTGAAGATAATATGAACTGTCAAATGACGGGTGTAATGGTCACGTACCGTGACGGCAGAGTAGCCCAATTGGAAAATGTTTATATCCGAGGCTCGAAAATTCGGTTTCTCATCTTACCAGATATGTTGAAAAATGCACCTATGTTCAAACGACAAGGCAAGTCTGGAGGCGCCGGTGGCGCCGGTAGAGGAAAATCAGCTATTCTCCGCGCTCAAGGTGAGTTACCTTTTGTTAAACATGATGTATCAACTTATTTTACATTCGGGTGATTGTGGTTTTGCTTCGCCCCTGACTGGCTCTTGTCCAACTTTATTTACAACTACATAACCTATCACTCCCGCTTAATCCCGCCATTAAGCCCCAATGTTAAGTTTTCTTTCAATGTTTCTTGACTTGTGCCAGATGTGCTGCTTTTTTGTTTGTCCTCATGTTCTGTAATGGCGCTCTTCTGAGAGTGCAAATCCTATCCAACTTCCTGTCTCACTTGTCAAAGTTGTTTGGCCTTGATCAATAAATCGTAGACGCAACGTCCATTCTACCTTTAATGTCAACTTGTTTGCTTCTGTCTCGCAGCTGCTAGAGGACGGGGCCGAGGATCAAGAGGAGGGCCCGGAGGCCGGGATGGTGGCTGGAGAAGCGGAGGTGGTGGTGCTGGTGGCAGCCGTGGAGGCCGCTCTGGAGGTGGAGACCGCCAGTAATTTCTGCTGTCACCCCGTGTTATGTACATAATTGGAATAGCATGTTCCAAAGAAGATCCAAGATGTGGTGGCGAGGTGCAGTCTCAGTGATGTGCAAGATTCCAAGTGACTTTAATTTTGTAGTGACTGTCAATGAATGACTTGATCATCCAAACAATTCTGTTCAGTTCGTGTTTCTTATCAAACCAACGTGTGACATTCAGAGCCCAAGTATCTCTGCAATTTCATAATTGATTTCCTATTAGACTTATTTTAATTCTGCTGCTGTCATGTTTGTTAAGCAAACATAATAAACCTATTGAAACAAATATTGTCCGCTTTTCATCTCCTCAATTGAAATAGTTTGTATTACAAAGTACTGTCAAGTTGAATTGCATAGTATAAACTTTGCCTTGAGTATTCAAATGTTACAGTGGACATTTCTTCAACAGTGGAGGGAACAGTGGTTTGCATGTAGGTGTTGGTTCATCTATTATAGACAGTTGCCTATTATAATCTTCATCCTCTTCTCTGTATCGTCTCTCTTGTTCTGCCATTTCCTTAGCCCACTTTTCATATTTCTCACGATTTATTATGCCATGCTTTTTACGATATTCCTGGAACAGCCAAAGTTTGGTAGAATTTGTCTTGTAAGAACGTTATCATTACACTCAAACATCAATAGAATCCTTACATGTATTGTTTTCTGTATGGGGTATAGTGGGCGTCCTCCAACTTTACATTCATTCATGACTTCATTTGCATAATCAAAGAAATCTGCGTCCTCTTTTTCCATCAGACTCACAAGCTTTTGATATCTTTGGTGATCTTGAATACAATGCTTATTCTTAATCTCTCTGTGCTCCTCCTACAGAATACAACAAAAATTTTGTTAAAAACAAAGAGAAGACTGTATTTATAACTGCTGAAATGTGAAACTCACTATCTGCTTGTTGTAGCCATCTCGCACAGCCATTTTCGTTGCCCATTCTGATTCTTTCCTCTTAATTTCATGCATTTTGTCTATTTCATTTCTTTTAAGACCTTGCATTAAGATCCATTGCCTTAATTCTTTGTCCTCTGCTGCTTCTTTCTTCTTTTGAACCTCTACCTCAGCATGGTAATCTTTTCTTTCTTTTAATAATCTGGCCTCATAGTCTTTCTTCTTTTGAAGTATTGCTGCCTCCCTGTAATTTGAGAAATAATGTTTTGAAAAGAACAGCCTTCAAGACACTTCAATTTGTTTTCTTTTACCTTTCATCTCTCTCTTTCAAAGCTTTGGCTATCATTCCATCTATGTCATCTTCTTTCTCTTTGAGGCTTTCTGCTATGACAGCACGTATCTTCTCTTGATGCTCATGCTTGGCTTGCCTTGCCTGTAGAAGAACATTATTTATTAGATGTGTAAAAATGAATTGGAGGATTTATAATTGAATACGGTACCTCTATTTCTCTCTTCTTTCTTAAGCATTCCATCCTTTGCTTCACTCTTAGATATATTTGTATGACTTTCTCTTCATCTTCATCCTCTTGTTTTTGCATTTTTACTTTCTCTTTACTCATTTCCATGCTCTCCAAAGCGTCTTTCTTTACATGAGCCTTTTTTCTCTGAATCTTCAGAGAGAATTAAATAGTTAAATTTTGGCTTATGTCAGAACAGTCAAATTATGCCTTAAATTCTAGTTACCTCTCTCTGTATGTTTTCTTCGACCTGCTTTATTTCTTTTGCCATTTCTACAAGGTCTTGCTTCTCATACGCTTTTTCCCCTGCCAGAAGAAAAGCCTCTCTCTCTGCTTTCTCCTTCATCCTAAAAAATTACTAAATTGCATATGACAGTTCTCAGGTTCATGATTGGTTCAGGAAAACAATGTCCCTTACATTTTAATATTCTCTGCTTTTCTCTCCATTTTAGCTGCGTGTTCTCGTTCTTTCCTTTTCTCTTCTTCGTCATGGTATACCTCTACATCTCGCTTGATTTGGTCCGCCTTGGCTTGCTTTGCTTTCTCCTCTACTTGTTTCAGATAATCATTAAATTCAACTTGCTTTGAACGTTCATGCAATACCTGCCCAGCAAGTAATTGGTGGTTAAAGATCCGAGATAAATGGTACTTATGGATCACAATTAAATTTAGATCTGCTTGCCTCAGAGAACACAAAGGCACTATTAACTTGATGGATGTCATCTTTCTCAAACAGAAGCATCCTGCGGACATCCTCAATTTTCTTCTTCCTCTCCTCAGCTGCCTCCCTCAGTGATGCCTGATAAATGGAATTTTTGCGGTCCTCCTCGTCTTGAATGCGTCTCTGCCGCCGTTCCAAGCGCTCTCGTTGCTTATTCTTCACATGGGTTTGGAGTTGGAAAAAATTGAAGTAGTGGACTTAAAAAAGATGCGAAACTAAACAGCCATGTCCCAAAACCAGAGGCAGCTCACCAGCACCGTGTTCTTCCAGTTGCGGACGAGGCCCTCCGAGGCCTCCTTCATGCTCCTGACCTGCGCGGCGCGCTGCTGGGCGTCGCGCGCCTGCTCGGCCAGCCATTGCGAGTGCGCCTTGATCCTGTCCAGCTCCTGGCGGGGCATGACGATGGCCTTGATGACCCGGGTCTTGCCCTGGCCGCCCTGGCCCTGCTGGACTGGCCCGGCCGGCACGGCCAGCGAGACATGCTGCACGCGGGGGATGACGCTCATGGCGAGGCCGGGGCACTTCACGACGTCCACGACGTGCTGCAGCTGCATGCGCTGCATGCGCTGCTGGTTGTGTTGCTAGGTGCGTGCCGTGGCCGCCAGCACCGCCCCGCACCGCCCCGCACCCCGCACGGCCACGCGCCGCGAGGGAAGGCTGCCCTGCCGACGGTTCGGCGGTTCGGTTGCCTGGTAACCGCGTAACCACCACCCTCCTGGCCGTCCTGGCCACGGTAAAGAAGGGATGTAGCTGTAGGGCCTGTTGGGTCGCGGGGTTGAGACGCAGGACGCTTCTGTCGAGGCGACTAGCAGTGCCGAAAGGGTTGCCAACCGCGGGCTGACGGCCACCTAGGCGCCTGGCGGGCAGGCAGCCCATTCGACTCAGCCGCACGCTTGGCTGCGGACGGCCAGACTGCCAGGCACTCTCCGTCCCGCGGCCGGTCTCCTCGCTCTGTCTCTCTCGCACCGAAACGGGAATGGGACGGCCCACGAGTGCGAAATGAGTGCTGCCCTGTTGTTTCCAGCGACTTGAACCGTAGCACCCGCATTGCCCGCACCACTCCGCCTGGAAGGTGTCCCACAACTGTCTGGATGACGGATCGTACTTCTCTCTCTCTCTTTCCGTTACCGCTTCCCGGTCGAAGTGGAGGCGTCAATCCAAGGGCGAGTGATTGCAACCGCGCGGTCAAAACGCATCGCGTCTCTTCCCGTGACAGCGACGCCAGCGAAGCTGCCGCTAATGGACAGCGACGACAACACACTGCAAGAAAAAGACAAAACAAAGACGGCACGCAGGGAAGCGCCTCGCCTCGCCGGGTGTCGCGACACTGTCGCGCCGCGGAGCGTTTTTCCATGTCGGACAACAGAGTGTGAAGCCATTTAAATAATGAGATCATAAAACGCGCTGGCGATAAATGAGAAGGCCCCTCTGCCGCCCCTAACCTTGACGGCCCGGCTGGCCGACTGGCCACGGAAACATTAATTCAGGGTGAACCGCGCGAAAATTACCAAAGCAGTCACTTGGCACAAAAACAACCTAAAAACAGGACAATAAAATGTCAGACAGGATGCTGAGCTCCGACACAGAGGCCGAGCACTTATCCTCCCTATTCGCTAAAAAAATAGAGGAAAAACTAAAATAATAGAAGCTTTGCCGGCGCGAGTAGTGAAAGTGAACGTCTTTTTAATTTCCTTTCCCGAGACGAGAAAATGACGGGCTTCTGCTGTTCGGTGCTGCCGGGGGCGGGGCGGGGCGCCATGCCTGCGCCGTGCCAGTGGCGGTGCCGGCGGCGCGATGCGATGGGGTCAGGTTGCGTGTCAAATCGAGGAGGCTGACGAGAAAATTCCAACTTCCAGTGCCTGGCCCGCCCAGCGTCCCGTCCCGTGTATTCCGGCTTACGTGGATTTGGGCTGCGCGGCTGCCCGGCTGTCCGGGCGATGCGATACCGCACGCGAGGCTAGATTAATTGGCGGTTTGTTTTGGTGCGGGAAGTAGTGGTTGTGATCGGTGACGTCACGCCGGCCGCGTCTTACGAAACGAATAGGAGGAGGGCTTGCAGTGCTCTTCGTCGTCCTGTCTCTCTCGCACCCATGCGGAGTCAGCAGGGGGAAATGACGGTGGCAATGCCTCGCTTGGTGTGGGACACACTGACTTTGCCGCCGTCCTATAGAATCTTGGAGGACGGACGGCAGTGGACGTAGGTTGGGTGGCCTATCCCGCGTTCTGCAGGGGCGGCCGAAGCGTCACTGGAGGTGCCAGCGGAGTGCCAGCAGGGAAACCTCCCGGCGGAACGGACGCTGTGACCAGCTCGCCTTCGCGAGAGCCGTTTTCCACTGACACTGACTCGCGAGATGTGTTTCGCCACCTTTAATTTTTTGTTGTCTGTCCCAGGTGTCATCTCGAGTGTCGGGCAGTTTGGCGCCGTTTCCAACGCAACAGCTCGTTAAAGCGCCGCCCAGCGGCATCAGGCGTGTGTGGCGTGTCGGCGTGTCCTGCGGGGCCTGCAAACCGCCAAACCGCCTCTCGACGCGCCACTCGCATAAAAACAGCTGCAGGGCCCGCTGGCCTGTTCCCCCGTTTTCGTCGTTTTTCAGGGGAAATGCGCTTCCGCGGCTTGTTGTGCAACGCGGCACTCGGCGGCAGCGCGGCACCGCGGAGACGAGCCTTTTGGCTATTATTTACGACCTGAGGACGAAACGGGGGAAAGACTCCGGCTGCCTATGCCTGTCTGTCTGTCTGTCTGTTCGTCCGTCCGTCTGCCCCCGTCCGATTCATGTCGTTGGGGGGCCGTCGACTACAGTTGATGCGGCTACAGTTGTCAACTGAAGATGACGACGCCCCGAGATGGGGTTCCAGCCATGTGCGAAGTGGCACCTGTTACACAAGCCTTCCTCGTCAGGCCGAGGCTCGCCAGACCATCGTACGCATTCAAATTTTCGAAATGCCGCCGCTACGTTTGAATTTTCCACGCGCGCGTTTCGCGTTTCCGGAAACGTGGAGAGCTTGTCGCCACTTTCCGCTTTCCCCGGCCCGTGGCCCGACCGGGGCGGGGCGGGGCGGGGCGGGGCGGGGCGGGGCGGGGCGGCACTTCCGAGACGTGAGGCGTGGCGCGGCGGTCGTATTGAATAAAATGTCTCTGTCGCGGCGGGGCGGGCGGCGCGGCACGGCGCGCGCATCTCCATCGGCGTCGCCGAGGCACTGCTGAAAGCTTAATAAAGGCCGCAAATACGCGTCGCGCGGCCCCGCAGGCCCGAGGCCGAGCCCGCGGCCCGCAGCGGGGACAGAGAGAGAAAGACAGAGAAAGCGATGACAACGGATTGACGCGGATTGTCGCTCGGATTTCCATATAGATTGGCCAGATCTGGCTGATCCGGTAAGCGCCACAGCCGCCAGGCCGCGTGGAGCGCCGGGATGGCGGGGAGGTGCACTGCACCGTGAGTGCGAGTGAGACAGGCCATGCCCACACTGGGGCCGCCACGGCCACCCCCAGCGCGGTGGGTCCGCGTGGTCCAGCCGCGGCCCGTTTCGTAAGGGACCCACAGAGGTCCACTCGGTCCACTGGACCTCTCCTTTCTCCCGCATGGCCGCATCCCGTTGCGTAAGCCATCTGGAAAAAGAGATGATGTTTGGATTTTTTGGTAAAAGGCGTGCGGGCAAGAAGTGGATCCCGTCTGGGCGACGGCCTGCCGCGCCTGCCGGGACTTGAAGCCATGGCAACAGGAAGGATGACCTCATGCGCGACATCGCCGCCGATCTCTACTGCCCTGGTCTGTCGCCGGCCTTGCCCCGCCCCCTCCCCCTTCCGTATGGCAACCGGCGGTGGAGGACAGGAAAACAAGAGCACGATCGTTGCCATCCAGCTCACGTCGGGCCGCGGCCTGCCCGTGGCGACGCGGAGCAGCGCAGCGCAGAGCACACCCTGCCGGGGCAGGCCGGGGCAGGCCGGGGTCACGCGGCACAAGGTGAGCGCGCCGAGCGGCCGAGCACGCGCGTCACATGCCGAGCAAATTCAAATCCGGAGCGGTCTGCACGGAAGTCGCGTGCGGGTAGCCCGCCGTGCGTCCGCGCGCACCGGGTTGCCTATCCCAGGTTCCGCGGGCGCTCGGGGGCGAGGCAGGCCACCAGGCCGTGCGTCCGCGCGCACCGGGTACGTACGGCGGCCGCTCTGCCTGCCAGGCCCCAGGCCCACCAGGCCCGCCTCTCTGGTCCCCCTGCGGGCGGGTCGCTGACGTCACCGCGCGTTTTACGATGTTCCGCATGGCGAATTAATTCAAAGTTTTCGCGACCGGCATTAGTGCCGCACTGGACGCGACACGCCGTCGGTTTGTCGGTCCGTCTGCCTGTCTGTCCGTCCGTTCGCCCAAGTATGATAATGGCAGAACAGGTAAAGGTCGCGCAGTCCGTCACGCGGAGCACGCCGCGTTTTCGGAGGCGCCCCGAGGCGGTGCTGGCGGTGCGAGGCGAGGCGCCCGTCTTCCGGGACGCCATCAAACACGTGGACGCGGTGGACGGCGTGGACGCGGTGGCTGGCTGGCTGCGAGTGGAGGCGAGTTTCCCAAGTTTGCCGCCAGGGCGCGCCGAGGCGTCTGGTGCCGCTCGCTGCCGATTGGAAGGTCGGCGATGCCAGCGCCACGCCACTGCATTGTGGGCACGGTCTATTTAATTACTGGAGTGAGGTCGGCCGGATCGGCAGATCGGCAGATGGCGGCGACTGGCGACGCGTCGCGACGCGTCCGAAAGGACGAGAGGCAGCGAAGCCGCAGCCTACAGGCACCGCAAGGCACACACACTTACAAAACAACAACAACAACAACAACAACAAGCTCGCGCACACGCCGGGTGGTGGCTGGCCGGCGTCGTGGTGAAATTTTTGGGCGACTTTTCCCTTTATTTCGGGCGGAGAGGTTCGCGTTCACTCACCCGCGGCGGCTTGCTTGCGTGTGTGTGAGTGTGTGCGCGCACTTGTGTGTGTGTGTGTGTTGGTACTTTGTACACAGCCGCAAACGCATTCACGCACGCACACACGCGCACCCCGCGCCGCACCCGTGTTGTTGTTGGAGGAAGAAGAAAGTTCAAAGAGGGGTATTGAAAGGGTGAGAGCAGCAGCACTGCTGCAGCTTGGCGGGTCCGAGTGCAGACCGCCGCCTGGGAGCTCCAAAAGCGAGGCTCTCAAGAGGAGTGTCCGTTTTGTTTACGCCCCGCGAGCGCCGCGACGTCGCGTCTGATTAGCGCCGCGAGCGGGGCGTCCCCAGCCTTTGACAGAACTAATGAATGAGTCTGCAGGTCTGCATCCTGCTCGCTAGCTCACCAGCCCGGTGGCGGGGCAGGTTGGGTCGCGAGTCCTTCACCCCGCGAACCTTGGCACCTCGTCGGCCGCAACACCTCGCGGAACACCTCGCGGAACACCTCGCGGAACGCCAAGCGACGCCAAGCTGCGGGGGGACCACCGACAGCAGGCCGTTTTTCGCGCAAGACACACTCGCAGAATACATGCATGAGAAATAAG